GTGAGATTTGGGGACACAGATTTGGGCTGTGGGGACACAGCCAATCGATATCTGGCATATGCAATCTGATCACCCCTTCTAAACTTCTCTCTTAAAAATGCAACACTCTGACAGCATGTGGAGGCTTGGATGGAAACATGGTAAAAATTAAGACATTGTTTCTCACACTTTCCCGCCAAAGTGATACAAATCCCAGAGCTGAGGCAACTAGTGTTTCTGCCAGAATAGAATGTCCTTGACATTTTCTGTTGTTTTTAAATATTTGCAACTATTTATTGTTCTTCCGTAAAAACCAGAATTTGTGGTTGTGTATATAAAAGTAATGTTCTAAAGTGTGCCTTTGTGTGTCCTTGATGCAGGACCGGCTCGGACTTGTGACCTGTGCAGTCACACAAGGCCCTGCACGTGGTTTAATGCTCCACTGTCACCATCTTGAAATCCTTAATACCTTGAACGAGGGGTCCTGTATTTTTGTTTCATGCTGGGCCCAGCAAATTACATAGGTGATCGTGCCTTTGGGGTTCTGCAAGGCCCCTAACCGTGAAGCATGCATCGAGTTACAGCTTTAAATCTTAACATGACTTCATCTGTTATGGCCCACCCAGGACAGTGTAGGAAGCTGGGTGCCCTTTAAAAAAGGAGTCTGGGCTGAAGGAGATGGAGAGGTAGGAAGGGTTGTGGGTCCTGAATGCCAGCTTTGCCAGGGCCATGCCTCGCAGCCATGTCCTTACTGCCTGTCTACCACAGGCCAGGTGAACAGTCATTCTGTAATTCGCATGCAGTAACACTCTTTGAGAGTTCTGTTTTTCACTTGGAACTGCCAAGTCATTTGGTGAAGATTTCCTGCTTGTTTGAAGTCTGCAGAGAAAAACCGCTAATGAAACATACCACATTTGGAAATGAAATTTTTACAGTATGCATCCGTAAGTTCTTATTCCAGCTCTTCCTTTTATTTTATAAATGCCTGTCTTATTTCAAAAGGGACTTTCAGGCATAGGTATAACAACATAATAAGAACAATACATTTGAGAAACAGGACTGAAAAGAAACTAGGGCAAAGTCAGGGGTCAGGTTGGATCACAAATGCATACCACAAGGTCTTACTGAATTTTAATTTACAAATGCCTATAAGCTTCCCAGTAGCAGAACGAAGGAACACAATTGGTCATATCTATATGCAGCAGGAGAAGGGTGGGGCGGAAAGCAGCTCACAATTTGGCTTGCACGGTCCACCGCAGAGAATTGAGAGATGTCTTGGGAACATGAGTGGGGCTTTCTGGGAATCTGTTTACCTGAGGCACTAAGTCCTTTCTCCCTTGGACATCCCCAGATAGTCCAGCATGAAGCTTTATTTGGAGAAGAGGGGCAGTTTGGAGCACTTCATGACGTCTTGTCACCCAGTTTGTCCTACAAATGCCTTCAAACTGAGTGGGACTTGAGCAAACAACATCCAGAGCTTCACTCCTCCCCGCCACTGCACTGGCCCTGCAGTGTTGTGAGTTGGTGGCTCCAGTGACATGGCAGTGGCGGTGAGCCCAGCACTGGCAGTGTTGGTGGCACTCACGTGGTGGTGGTGGCACCAGCACTGGCAGTGTCTGTACCAGCAGGAGAGGTAGCACCAGCACCTCCAAAGTGGATGCGGCAGCATCACAGTGGACGCAGGGGCCAATTGGCTGCAGTCGGTGTGGAGGCAGTGGCCAGGAGTGGCCCAGGAGGGGCTCTGCCAGCAAGGGCGAGCCCTGTGGATGACTCCATGGATGACAGAAGCTTGGACACGGGAGACCTTGGAGAGCCTTATCCCAGGAGGTGCTTGAGGCTCCCCCTTGAGGAAGATCTCTCCAGTGATGGGGGAAGTTGGAACCAAAGAAAGCTCCTTATGTTATCAAGATGTCCCTTTTTTAGCCTTAGGATATTGTGACCCCTAAAGGTATTAATGATGTTCTAGAGCATTTGAAAGACAACAGCCAACTAACTGGTTAAGCGCAGCTCAGTTTTTCCCTAGTGTGGGTGGCTGAGCACACATTCATTAATTCAGTGATTCATTCAGCCAACATCTGCAGAACCCCTGCTGGCTTCTGGTTTCAGATTGCTGGGATCTGAATCTGGCTTGCCACTTACTAGTCTATGACCTCGAGCAAATGGCGTGATTCCTGTAACACCCAGTTTCTGGGTGTTATGTAATATGAAATGTGAATTACTAAGTATCCACCTCACTGGGTTTTAGGAGAATCAAATGCATGTCAAGTGTTTAACATGGTGCCTGGCATAGATTAAGCATCCAAGAAGTGTGAGTTATGATTAAAGGCTGTGAGACGTACAAAGTGCCACATAGTTCCCCATTCATTCAAGTTTTTATTGTCCGTATAAGGAAATGCTACATAGCACAACTCCAGAAGGCTACACGTTAACTGGGGGTATCACACGGTAGAGAAATTATGGGTGATTTGATTTGATTATTTATCTGCTTTTTAGGATTTTTCCAGTGTATGTGAACTATTTGTGAGATTTTAAAACAGAAGGAAAAACAACCCTATTTGCCCTTCCCTTTGGTACTTCTGTGACACCCATGTCGTCCATCAGTTCCCATGCAGGCAGGGACAGTGACACACATCTGTAGATGGCTCAGACTCTCAGAAGCTTGTTTCTTAGAGGATCTGCTTGTAGTTTCTGGCTTTTACATTTCATTCATTCATTCATTCATTCATTCATTCATTCATTCATTCAAGAAATACTTATTAAGCACTTTCTATCTGCCGGGCACATTGATAAGTTCTGGTGAGTGAAAACCAATGGCTCCCTTGATGGAGCTGGTAATTTATCAAGGTTCTCAGACTGTCATCCAATAATTAAATAAATATGTCACGACAGATGGAAGTGAGATGAAGGCGAGGAACGTGGTGCTATGAAGGTGGACAGCAGAGATGAAGGTGGAAGGAGGCAGGGGAGGCTTCCCTGGGAGGTGATGGGAAAGCTGAACTGTGAAGGTGCATAGGAGTTATTGGGTATGTATGGGGGTGGGGAATGTGCAGTCCAGACAGAGGAGTAGAGTTGACAGCCCTTCACATATCTGTAGGTGGCTTCTCCCCAGGAGCCTTTCTGTTGTATTCCTGCCTTCTTCAGCTTTTCTGCGTGGGATGTGGTTTCACAGCCTGTTTTCATTCTGAGATCCAGTTTGTTCGCATCCTCCTTTTTCAATAGCAATTTTATTGAGCTATAATTCACATGCCATACAATTCACTCAAAGCGTACAATTAAATGATTTTTAGTGTATCACAGAATTGTGCAACCATCACCATGATCAATTTTAGAACATTTTCATCACCCCAAAAAGAAACCCTCATACCCATTAGCAGCAGCCACTCCTCGTTTCCCCCACCAATCCCAGCCCTGGGAAACCAGTAATCGCTTTTAGTCACTATAGATACACCTGTTCTGGACATTTTTTATAAATTGAATCATACAGGATGCGTTCTTTTGTAACTTCTTCTTTCATTTAGCATTGTGTTTTTAAGGTTCATCCATGTTGTAGCATGTATCAGTACTTTGTTTGTTTGTTTGTTTTTGAGACAGAGTTTTGCTCTGTCACCCAGGCTGGAGTGCAGTGGCACAATCTAGGCTCACTGCAACCTCTGCCTCCCAGGTTCAAGCAATTCTCCTGCCTCAGCCTCCCAAGTAGCTGAGACTACAGGCACACGCCACCACACCCTGGTAGTTTTTTGTATTTTTAGTAGAGATGGGGTTTCACCATGTTGACCACGCTGGTATTGAACTCCTGAGCTCAAGTGATCCTCCCATCTAGGCCTCCCAAGGTGCTGGGATTACAGGCATGAGCCACCGCACCTGGCCACTTCATTGTTTTTAATTTACTTATGTTGTTTTTGAGACAAGGTCTCACCCTGCCACCCAGACTAGAGTCGAGTGGTGCAATCACGCCTCGCTGCAGCTTTCACCTCCTAGGCCCGAGTGATTCCCCCACCTCGGTCTCCCAGTAGTTAGGACTACAGGTGTGTACCACTACACCCAGTTAATTTTTTTTATTTCTTGTAGAGATGGGGTTTTGCCATGTTGCCCAGGCTGATCTCAAACTCCTAGGCTCAAATGATCTGCCTGCCTTGGCCTTCCAAAGTGCTGGGATTGGCTGGGCGCGGTAGCTTACACCTGTAATCCCAGCACCTTGGGAGGCTGAGGCAGGCAGATCACAACGTCAGGAGATCAAGACCATCCTGGCCAACATGGTGAAACCCCATCTCTACTAAAAATACAAAAATTAGCCAGGTGTGGTGGTGCACATCTTTAGTCCCAGCTACTCAGGAGGCTGAGGCAGGAGAATTGCTTGAACCAGGAGGCGGAGGCTGCAGTGAGCCGAGATTGTGCCACTGCACTCCACCCTGGGCAACAGAGCAAGACTCCATCTCAAAAAAACACAAACAAAAACAAACAAACAAAAAAACACAAAGTGCTGGGATTACAGGTGTGAGCCACTGCGCCGGGCCAGTCCTTCACTTTTTATTGCTGGATAATGATAATATTCCATTGTATGGATAGATCATGGTTTGTCCATTAGTCAGTTGATGGATGTTTGGGTTGTTTTCATTTTGGGGCTATTATGAATAAGGTTGATATGGACCAGTTTATGTGTGGGCATTTTTTTTCTGCTTTTCTTGTGTATATTTTAGGAGTGGAATTGCTAGGGCATATGGTAACTCTAACCTTTTGAGGAACTGCTAAACTGTTTTCCACAGTGGGTATGCATTTTGTATTCTTACCAACGGTATATGAGGGTTCTTATTTCTCCACATCATTTCCAACACTTTGCATTTTCTGTCTTTTTTATTACAGTCATCCTTGTGGGTGTGAAGTGGTATTTCATTGTGTTTTGATTGGCATTTCACTGATATCTTATGATGCTGGCACCTTTTCATATACTTATTGGACATTTGTATATCTTCTTTGTAGGTATATCTGTTCAGGTTCTTTGTCCATTTTTAAATTGGGTTATATCTTGTTATTATTGATTTGTAAGAGTTCTTTTATTTTAGATACAACTCCCTTATCAGATATATTGTTTGCAAATATTTTTTTCCCATTGTGTGTGTTGATGATGTCCTTCAAAGCGTGAAGGTTTTAAATTTTTATTAAGTCCAGTTTATCCATATTTTTCTTGTGGTTTTGGTGGCATATCTAAGAAGCCATTGCTAACATAAGGCCACGAAGACTTGTATCTGTATTTCTTCTTTCCTCTTGTAAGAGTTTTATGGTTTTACCTCTTACATTTTGGCTTTTTGTCCATTTAGAATTGATTTTTGTATATGGTGTGATGTAGGGGTTCAACTTCATTGTTTTACATGATATCCGGTTGTCCCAGCACCATTTAGTGAAAAGACTATTCTTTCCCCACTACATTGTCTTCATCCTCTTGTCAAAAAGCAATTGACTATACATGTGAGGGTTTATTTCTGGACTCTGAAATTCTGTTCCATTGAACTGTCTGTCTATCCCTATACAAGTACCACACTATCTTGATCACTGTGGTTTTGTGGTGAGTTTTGAAATCAGAAAGTGTGAATCCTCCAACTTTGTTCTTCTTTTTCAAAATTGTTTTGTGTATTCTGTGTCCCTTGCATTTCTATGTGAATGCAGGGACCGTGTTGAGACTGTAGATCAATTTGGGGGGTATTGCCATTTTAACAGTATTAAAAATCTTCTCATCCATGAACATGGATTACCTATGTCTTCTTTAATGTCTTTCAACAGTGTTTTGTGGTTTTCAGAGAATAAATTTTTCACTGCTTTTGTTAAATGCATTCCTAAATATTTTATTCTTGTGATGCTATTGTAAAGGGAATTGTTTTCTTAATTTTATTTTTGGGTTGTTCATTTCACATCCTTTTTAAAATGTGGTCCCTGGAACCATCAGACTAGCACTGAACACAGTGGGATGTTCACTTCAAACTTGTGGATATGATTCTGTACTCTAACCTCAGACAAAGTTAAGCTTTTTGTGGAAGAGGTGAGTTGGGGTTGGGTGGTTGGCACACTAACAGCACACCATTGACTCATGTCAACAAAACTCCTCACACCTTTTTAAGTCTTCTGCTGCTAAGCCATGCCTTCCTTATTCTATACCTGGGCAAGTAGCTCTTGGGTGCCAAAAATAGCACCTTACCCTTTCCATTGCATGTTCTTGGATCCAGGCCATTGCTTCTAATCTAAGAGTGAGAATGATTTGGATGCTGATTCTGACCCTGGGTCATGACGTCTTTGTTACCAGCCTATTCATGAATGCAATAAAGATGGCCTCTTTATTTTAATTCAAGCCAGTAATAAAAATGTCCCATGGGACTTTGCAAAGGATAGAGGCTTGAAGTCCTGAATTCAGAACCTCTCTCTGGGAACATTAAATTGTAGCCTCTGAAGAACAGTATCCAACGAGTCCCCAAGCCATCCAGTGGTCCACACACCAAATTTATATCAACCCCATTGAACTTACCAGATGCCCTACTGAATTCATAAACTCTTGATCTCCCTCATTTCTACCGGTTTCTTAATCCTGTCAAGGAAGGAAACAAGATTCATTTGAAAGAGTATTTTATCTGTGAACCCACAGTGGGTCCTGGTGCTTCCTGCTTTCTGTATGTTCATAAACCACAAATCCCCTCTAACAAGCCATTGCTGAATTGTTTTCATCAGCCAGTTGTTCTCATATCGTAAGAGAATTAACCTCAGATGGAGAAGCTGAGGATCACCGAAGGGAAGGTCAGACATAAGACTGGTAAGTGTGAAGGGAAGACTAGAACCCAAAGCTTATGGTGACGTGTCTTGTGCTTCTTCCACTGGTAATGGAGAGAGACAGTTCCCATATGGACACTTGAGCAAGTGTGGATGTGGGAAGAAACTCAGTTATCCACATCCCATGTCTTCAGATAAACCCAAGTGTACTACTTACTTTACACAAAGTGAAATACTACTGCTCTATACAAAGTGATATAAGTGCCTTAGTGAACACCAGAAGACAGGCACAGCACACAAAGTTGTCTTTTAAATCACATTTGTGATTTCATATTATCTCATTTAATTCGGATTCCTCTTGGGCCTGGATTATCTGGATTGCATTAATTCAACAAGCACCTACTCATGTTTTTTCAGGCCCCATGGCAGACTCTGATTCTGAGCTGTAAAGGGCATAGTCCCTACACTGTGGGAGCTCCCTGTCCGACAGGGAAGGTTGACAGGTGAGTCCAGCACTGTGATGCCCTTAGTGGGTTCTGTGATAGATGGTGACTTGCCGTGCCATCCCCTGAGGTCCAGGCTTTCCTCTCATGCAGTCAGGATGGCAAGTGACACAGGTAGATCAGCGTGGAACCACAAACCAGTTAATAGATAATGATTTCACATCTATCATGTGCTGAGCATGGTTCTGCACATCATTATGCAGCAATGGATAAAACTACAAATCCCTGCCCTCATGGGATCTAGTGTATGTATGTGTGTACACATGCAAATCTGAACAAATACATTAAATGCTAAGTGGTATAGAGAAAAAATAAAGCTGGATGGGGAATGAAGAATGATGGGCTAGAAATGAGGTTAGCATTTAAAATGGGGGTTCTGGGGAGGCCTCCTGAGAAGGTGGCAACTGAGCAGCAGCCTGAGGAAGGTGGCTGATCAAGCCATGTGGCTGTCCAATGGAGGAGCGTCCCAGGCCGAAGGAAGGGCTGTGCTAAGGTCCTGAGGGAGGAGGTGCCTTGTGTGTTAGAGGCCCAGCAAGGAGGCCACTTAGCTGGGAGATGAGGCCACATAGGGCCTTATAGACCCTGGCAAGGACTCCAGCTTCTCCTCTGAGGTGGGAAGCCAGGGTCTTGAGAGGGAGAGTGACGTGATCTTACATTCTTTACTTATATTTTTGAAAGATCCCAAAGGTTATGTTGGGAATAGACTTTGGTAGGAAGTGGGGTGGCGAGAGGAGAGGAAGCGATTATGAAGATGTAGATGGAGATGGAACAGATGTGAATTTAGAGGAGGGGGTGGAGGGGTGAGAAGCAGACAGATTTTGCAGGGGTGCAAGGGGAGGCCATAGGATTTCTGGGGACTGGATATGGTTGTGAAAAAGAGAGGAGTAAGGATGATGCTGGCATTTTGAAGGGTGGAGTCATCAATATGACATGCCGGCAACTGGAGGAGGAGGAGCGTTTGGGGTAGGACCTGCTGATTTGGAGATCAGGTGTTTGTTTGGGGGTTTGTTTATTAGACTTACCTGTTAGACTGCAAGTGGAGATACGGTGAGCTCAGACTGGAAATGTCAACATGGACTCATTAGCATATAGATGGTACTGAACACCAAGAAAGCTGAAGAGATTCCCCAAGGGAAGAGTGTAGATGGGAATGAGGGGTCTGAGGACTAAAGCCTGGAGCATTGTCACATTTAGAGGTACAACCAGTGAAAAAGTCTGAGATGCTATGCCGGGAATGAATAAGACAAGCAGGAGGATGTGGTATCCTAGAAGGCAAATGAAGAGAAGAGGGTGGTGACTGGCCACGTCTGATGAGGGCTGAGAACTGATGCAAAGTCATGGCCATGTGAGCATTCCATTGGTGGAAACAGCAGGCAGGTAACACTTGGCTTCCACAGGGTCAGTGCAACTGCATCCCTGCCAGGTGATCACAGTGACTGTCTCCTGCACAGATCTTGAACTCCACGCCTGTCCTACCACCCTATCATAGTCCCTAAAAATGGCACAATTAATCTCTTTCCCTTTGGTACTCTCACATCAACAAGTATGTTGCTGTTCAAGAAGTTTGTCAAAGTACAGAAACTGTATTGTTTGTCTCTTATTTTTCCTTGATTTTTAATTTTTAAAAATATTTTGCTGATCAAGTCGTATTTGTCTAATTCTAATGGTACTGACTCAGTACAACCCATTTTTACCAACTAAAAACACATAAATTGGCCGGGCACAGTGGCTCACGCTGGTAATCCCAGCACTTTGGGAGGCCAGGTGGGCAAATCGCTTGAGCCTAGGAGTTTGAGATCAGCCCGGGCAACATGGTGAAACCCCATCTCTACAAAAAGTACAAAAATTAGTCAGTCATGGTGGCATGTGCCTGTAGTCCCAGCTACTCAGGAGGCTGAGATGGGAGGACTGCTTGAGCCCAGGAAGTTGAGGCTGCAGTAAGCCGAGTTTATGCCACTGCAGTCCAGCCTGGGCAGCCCTGTCTCAAAAAACAAATAAAAACCAAAAAAATCCTATAAGTTGTTTACAAACATGTACAGCTACATACAGATTCCTTTATGAGGAGCATTTCCAGTATACATATCATACAGTAATACGATTTTCCCATGTTGCCATTGTTCTCTGAATCAGTCTTACCTGCCTATCATAGCCTGTTCAGGCTGCTGCAGCGAAATACTTCAGGCTGAGTAATTTACAAACAACAGATATTTATTGCTGACAGTTCTGGAGGCTGGGAAGTCCAAAATCAAGACACCAACTGATTTGGTGTCTGGTGAGGGCTCATTCCTCATAGGTGGTGCCTTATGTGTGTCCTCACGTGAACAAACTCTGTCAGCTCTCTTTTATAAGGACGCTAATCCCGTTCACAAAGACTCCACCCTCATGACTCAGTCACTTCTCGAAGTCCCTACCTCTTAATACAAGCACATTGGGAATTAGATTTCAACATAGGAATTTTGCAGAGACACAAATACTCAGACCATGGAACCTTCCTATGTAAAGTGCAAGGGGAATTGTCCGTTCTTCCCTGTCTGTTGTGGGTAGGGATCGGGGGACCCAGGGAATCTAAGAAGTGGAGCCATCTAGGTCAGAGGGGCGCAAGGGCTCCTCAGGTGAATGATGGGCATTTGGGGCAGAAAGGAAGGCAAAGGCCGAATCTCAGAACTGGGAAAATGCAGGTGATTTTGGGACCAGTGAATAAGCAGGGTGTCATGGGGCGCAGGGCTCGGGGGTGCTGCTTGTGAACAAGGGAAAAGTCAAGGGTTTCCCTTGTGGAACATCTGTCCTAGGGAGAATGGGACCAATGGAGACAGACACATGGGAACATCAGAGAGGCCCAGAGAGACAGGAATCCAGCGAGAGAGTGTGGCAGGGGCTGCAAAGGGTTAACAGAGCAGGTCAAAGGTACAAGCCTGGAAGCAGGAAGGGTGCCCTTAGGTGCGATGATTGCTCCTGGAGACACACTGGGATGTGTTGGGGGTAAATCTCTCACCATTTGACATCGGTTATTTTCTTTTTATTTAAAATTCTTACCAAGACAGATTTTGATTTTTATACTCACTAATGGAACAGAACTGTGATTTAGGGATCACATACTCCTATGTCCCTTGTTCTAACATCTCTGACAGTTACATTTTTCCCTCTGGGGCATCAGACCACTGTGTCAGTGAGTTGTGGGGACATGCTGTGGCCTTTGCTTTGGTGGGGACAGCACATAGAGATGTAACTGTGTCCCCCTTCCATACATCACTGCCATTATGGTTTGCATCAAGCAGCTGAGCAGAGCAGGGAAAAGAACCAGTGGGTGACCCAGGACACTACTACAGGGTAGACCTGACTGTGGGGCAGGCCCAGAGTCTCTCTTGCTGGGCTGGGGCACAATCCTACAGGGACCAAGAGAGACAATCTATGATGTAACTGCATCCCCCTTCCATGCATCACTGCCATTATGGCAGGCATCAAGCAACTCAGCAGAGCAGGAAAGAGAACCAGTGGGTGACCTGGGACACCACTACAGGGTAGGTCTGGCTGTGGGGCAGGCCCAAAGTCTGCCTCGCTGTGTTGGGGCACAATCTTACAGGGGCCAAGGGAGACAACCTACCAAGGCTCGTAGGTCCCTGATTGTGACAGAGCTCATATGCCAGGTTGAGGAGTTGAGACTTGATTCTGTAGCTCAGGGAGAACCATCCAAGTTCTCAAGGAGAGGGTAAGGTGGTCAGGTGTCTTCCTGTTTCGAGAGACCCCTACTGGCAATGTGTGGCCAGGAAAAGGTGGGAGGCAGGGAGGCCAGACAGGAGGCTGATGCAGTCGCCCAGGTGAGACATGATCACTCCTAACCCAGGTCAGAGACCCTGGAGAGGAAGAGGAAGCTGGAGGGGAGAGCGTCATTGTAAGGTCAGGCAACAGGAATCTGCGCCTAATTGGAGGTGGCATATGATCCAGGATGTCTGCGAGGTGTCTGACCGGGGCAACCGAACTGCTGTGGCTGCTCTCAGTGTCCAGACAGAAAGCAGTGAGCTGGTCTTGCATCATCTTTATGTTTGCAGATTATCTTGACTAACCCACATTCTTCATGTTTGCAGATTATCTTGACTAACCCACATTCTTCATGTTTGCAGATTATCTTGACTAACCCACATTCTTCATGTTTGCAGATTATCTTGACTGACCCACATTCTTTAAGCAGAGAGGTTTTTTCGGGGAGTTGGGGGTGACGAGCCTGAAATATTTTAACAATGACAGTGATTCTCCACTTCTCTTCATTCTGTTGGCAGCCTGACACCCATCGCTAGGGTTGTGGAGCGCAGAGAAATCTTAAATAGAGGATCATTATGTGTAGGTGTGAATATGCCATGTCCGTCCCCCCACCCCCCACTGGATTTCCTCTGCCAGAGCCTTGAACAGAGTGAATAGAAGACCAGCCTGTCCCTGAACTTGACGGCGTCAGGAGTAGCTCCACTAAGGTCACCGCAGAAGGCTGTGCCAGGGGTTAGCGCCCAGCACAGAAGCCGGCACCTTGTTTCCTATTGTTTCTGGACTGCCATTGTTTTAATTAAGCTGACTTTGTAGCCAGGGTTCATTCACTACAGACAAAGCCTCTGTTAGACAAAATTAGATCTCAGAAGCTTCTAGAGAGCGAGGGTGGTGGAATCACAAGCCACTGGCGGTAGAAGTTTCGATTCTAAATCCCCAGGGGAAAAACAGCAAATGGGTTTCTCCTTTTGTTAATTGTAAAAAAGTAATAATTAAATATGAAGTAAATCTGTATGGTGGGGTAGGGGTAAGGGGGATAGGTTGCAAGAATGATTCATTCTTTCTGCCTAAGAAATACAGCTTAGAGTTAATCCAGATGATTCTGGCAAACTGTAGATTTCATGTTTCCACATTTGACAGCATAGTTGATAAATAAGAAGGAAGAACGATTTGAAACATGATGTCATGACTGGAGCTGCTGATTGTTTTAACACAGCTCAAGGATTGATTTCCCCACCCAGAAAAATAAACTTAGCCTCAATCCAACCCTGAGCAAAGGTGTTGTTGGAAGCGTTTTGTAACCCAGAGCATAAAAAGTCATCTTTTAAACCAGAAACTGGCGAGGGCTCCAGGCAATTTTACCCTCTCGTATTTCTCATTAGGAAGACTTTTGTCACCCTTAAAAGAAGGAAAAAACCCATTAAAAAAAATCATGAGTGGCAGATTTTCAGGGAGACCGTGCAGCTGCAACCACTGGAATTGGATGTCGGGTCTGTTTGACACGAGCAGGACGGTGCCGGTTAAGCTTTCAGGAGCTTAAAGGAGCTGTGTGTCTCGCCAGCTTTGGGTTAGGAAGTCAGGTGCGTGAGTCACACGGCGCCTCCTCTGCTCGCTCCTTCAGTGACATGATTTGGGTGCTGTGAAGTCTGGGGTTGGAGCTGCTAAAAACTCCAGGCCTCGGAGAAAAGGTGGAGAATGCATTGATCAAACTATAATTTAGAACATCATTGCCTGGCACATGACCAACATTCTCTGCTCCGTGTGCAGGATGCCGGAGACCAGGCCAGGCATCCTCTGCCTCTGGGGATGGCAGCTGAGCAGGAAGAACAATGGTTTCGGGAATGTGTATAGTCGCTCCTCTGTCAGGCGCCAGATGATACGAATGTGACAGAAAGAATGGCTGATTTGGAGCTGGAAGGTCAGCGACTGCTGAGTAATCGGGCTGAGTAAGACAGTGGCCTTTTGCATGAGGGCTGAGACTTCAGTTCTGGTATGCCACTCACTCTGCGGCCAGCGTGTGAGCTCCTTCCCTTCTCCAAGCCTCAGTTTCCTCTCCCATAAGATGAGGAAGTAGCACCCACCAGAGAGGATGCGTGGCCTTTGATGTAATGCACCTGCACAGCTCAGCACAGAGTCTGGCCCAGTCAGTGCTCAGTGAGGGTTTGTTCCAACCCACAGCCCGGCTCTTTCCTCTTAGGGCCGCGGGGGCTGAGAGCCACAGCGGAAACAGAAATCCCGTGGAGATACACATTTTATCTTCCAGATGCATTGCTTGGGAATACAGCCCTTCCAACAATAAGCTTTCTGTTTTTGAGCCTTGTCAACAGCACATGCCGGGCAGCAGGCAGAGTGCACTGAAAAGAAGGATTTGTGACTGGCAGCCTTTGGTGGGGGAGTAGGAGGGAGTGGCCCTAGGGAAAATGACAGAGTCAGGGCCCTGCCATGTTACCCTGGAGAATCTCCTCACCTGTATAAAACAGGGTAGCAGTTTCCTAGTTCCTTCCTGGGGGTTTTGTTTATTTGTTTATTTTACTTATTTTTTTGAGACAGGGTCTCATTCTTCTGCCCAGGCTGGAGTGCAGTGACATGATCTCCGCTCACTGCAACCTCCGTGTCCCAAGTTCAAGCGATTCTCCTGCCTCAGCCTCCTGAGGCACCCAATTAGCACCACACCTGGTTAATTTTTGTATTCAGAAAATTACAACATGTGGAAATGGGGTCTTGCCATGTTGGCCAGGCTGGTCTCAAACTCCTGGCCTCAAGTGATCCGCCTGTCTTGGCCACCCAAAGTGCTGGGATTACAGGCTTGAGTCCCTGGGCCTGGCCCTCTGTTTATTTTATTTTTGTCTTTTGGATCTGTGGCAGAGGATATCCACCATTCTGGGCAGATTTACGGGTGACCCAAAGTTGGAAGAGGCTGACTGATTGATCAGCTGCTGGGTTCAAAGATACCTCAGAAATAAGAAAAGAGCTGGTGCTAAGAAAAAAAAAAAAAAAATGAGTGGGGATAAATGTAGAGTCCTGTACTTAGGTTCAAAAGTCAACTGTAAATAAACTGCCTAACTGCAAGATGAGGGGATGGTGTGAAAAATGTCGGGTTTATCCCAGTTTAGTGAAAAGGTCAGACTGCCCCTTTGCTGTCTGTTCTCCATCTGATGGGTTTTAAGAAACTAAGTCTTAGCTCGGTTGAAGGGAACTTATTCCCCCCTTTATAACATAGGCTGTATTTTTAGAAAACAAATGTGCAACCTCAGTACAGAACAGGAGAGTTATGTAACTTCCCAGCAAGGTGATGGTGGTGAAAGATGATCCCGATCTTGCAATGGTCCGTGGTACTCCTTCTCAGATGTCCCTACCTGGTGGTGATGCAGTGCGTCCCAGAAGTGTCCTTTCCCTTGTGGCACTGAGCTGTCTACTCTGGCCCAAGGCCTGGTCTGGCCATTCCACTAGGACACAGCTGGATGAGGGGTCATCAGGAATACCGGAGAGGGAGGGTGGAGGGTGACTGCCAGCAGAGAAACTCCAATTTTTACAGTTTAGCAAACATGTTCAAACCCATTATTGGCTGGAGTTGAGTGCAAAGTCCCATGGGGAAAAAAGTCCATCTTTGGTGCAGTTGGGTGTAGGTAGCAGATGTGGCTTTTCCCTTGCTGAGATATGTCACAGATGAGCAAGGATAAGGGAAAGGCTCAGAGGCAAAAAGGGGGTTCCTGTATGGACCCTCACCAAGAGCTGGCTGCCCTCTGCTTTGGGAACTCCACTTATATGTCAGACCTTCCATGTGTGACTTCATGTCTCTTAGAATCTTTTCTGACTTTCCCTCTGCGCTTCTGTCTATTTTCTATTGACTCAGTGATCTTTTCTGCTGTGTCTAATCTGCCCTTTAAACCATCTACTGACTTAATTTTAGTTATTCTAGTTTTCAGTTCTAGAATTTTCATTTAATTATTTTTAAAAAAATAGATTCTAATTCTTTGCTGAAATTCTCTGTCTTTTAATGTTTCCTCCATCTTTTCCGTTGTTTTCTTGAACATTCCTATGATAGCTTTTGAAAAGTGCTTCTTGGCTAATTCCAGCATCTGGATTATCTGAGAGTCTGTTCCTATTGTCTTTTTTTCTTTGGATTCTGATCGTTTGGTTCTGTTTGTCTGTCTGTTATTCTATTACTAGAAATTTCTAGATTTTTTTTTTTCTTAGCAACAAGGTCCCTCTAACTTTGTTGCCCAGGCTGGAGTGCAGTGTTGGGATCACAGTTCACTGCAGCCTTAATCTCCTGGGCTTAAGTGATCCTCTTACCTCAGTCTCCCAAATAGCTGGGACTACAGGTGCTCATCACCATGCCCAGTTATTTAAAAAAAAAAAAAAAATATATATATATATATATATGTAGAGAGGGAGGGTCTTGCTATGTTGCCCAGGCTTGTCTTGAACTTCCAGGCTCAAGCAGTCCTCCCGCCTTGGCCTCCCAAAGTGTTGGGATTACAAATGTGAGCAACCATGCCTGACTTAGAGTTTTTAATTGAATGCCAGACATTATGTATAAAAATGTGAGAAAGCGGCCAGGCGCAGTGTCTTACGCCTGTAATCCCAGCACTTTGGGAGGCCGAGGTGGGTGGATCACGAAGTCAGGAGATCGAGACCATCCAGGATAACACAGTGAAACCCTGTCTCTACTAAAACTACAAAAAATTAGCTGAGTGTGGTGCAGGGCGCCTCTAGTCCCAGCTACTCGGGAGGCTGAGGCAGGAGAATGGCGAGAACCCGGGAGGCGGAGCTTGCAGTAAGCTGAGATGCGCCACTGCACTCCAGCCCAGGCAACAAAACGAGACTCCGTCTCAAAAAAAAAAAAAAAAAAAAAAAAGTGAGAAAGCTCTGGATGGCCTCTTTCTTTTGTGGCAGATAAAGTAGGAACTGGTGGCTGTACTCTTTAGGACCTTAGCTCTGCCTGCCTTTGGCTTACCCCTGTCTGAAGGTTGTAGCCTTCCAGGTCCTCCATCCGAACCCAGAGAGTTCAGCAGGGCATCTCCCCTGCAGGTCCTGGACTTTAATCTTCATCATGGCGGCTTCCCAGGATGACTGGAAACTCCTAACTGCTTTTCAAAAGTTTCCTGCTTAACGTCTTAGCCTCCTCCCTCCCTGCACAGTTTCAGAATTTGGCAAATGTCTCATAGGGGAAAGTGGGAGCGTGTTGGTCCATCTTTTCTGTCCTTCCTTTTTAGAGGAATCCCAGCCCCGCAAATCCCTCATTTTTTTTGGTCCCTCCATTCCTGTGAGGCTGCCCAAAGCTCATCTGTGTCTGCGCCTCTTTGTCATCGACCCTGGCCTGGGTCCTTCAACAGATCCTCAGCCTCTTGCGTCAACGCCCGGAATGAGCAGATTCCCTGAAGGAAAGAGTGGCAGCAGAATGTCGGCTCACCTTGCCATCCAGGGGTCCCTGCTGTGAGGTATTTGTCCCCGTGGGTCCTGGTTGTCTCCACAGCTCTCCAGGGCTGTACAGGAGGTTTTTGAATTTGGTCTCTGCTTTCCTTGCTGGTCTCAGTGTTGCAGTGGTCAGCCACAAGCCACTTCATCTGATAGGAAAGGCAAGATCAGTTTTCCTGATGGCTGTGGGGGTTCCCTGCTTTTATTTTATTTTATTTTATTTTATTTTATTTTATTTTTTATTATTTTATTTTATTTTATTTTTGAGATGGAGTCTCACTCTATCACCAAGGCTGGAGTGCAATGGTGCAATTTTTGACTCGCTGCATCCTCTGCCTCCTGGGTTCAAGCGATTCTCCTGCCTCAGCCTCCTGAGTAGCTGGGATTATAGGCGTGCACCACCACGCCCAGCTAATTTTTATATTTTTAGTAGAGACAGGCTTTTACCATGTTGGCCAGGCTGGTCTCAAACTCCTGACCTCAGGTGATCTGCCTGCTTCCCAAAGTGCTGGGATTACAGACATGAGCCAGTGTGTCCAGCCGGTCTCATGCTTTTAGTAAGGCAGGGAGCAAATATACAGAGTGTGTCTACATCATAGACACAGGGCCCAAGGTACAGGGCCGCTTTTCCCAGATGTATACAGTGACAAGTCTCTCTGTCTCCCACTCAGCCTCTGGTTTTGTTCCAGAAGACGGGTGGCTAGACTGGGAGGGAACGGCAGTCCCTCTGCACTCTGGCCTGGCCTGGCCACATCCGGGTGACTGCTGCTCACTGGCGCCATCGAGGGAGGGCAACTGGGATGCTGGAGTGAATGGAGGCCAGCCCAGGAAACCCCATGGTGGCAGCTGACCCTCACTGAATCCTTGCCGAATCCCTTTACATGTTTTAAGACATGTAAACATCACAACAAACCTACTGGGTAGGGGTTATTACTATTACGACCAGTGGACATACGGGAAAACCTGGGTGCAGAGGTCATGGGCAGTGCCCCATGGAGCGCAGGCAGTTTGATTCCAGCACTCACCCTCTTCACTATACCATCTCACTGCCTCTTAATAGATGTGAAGATGTTTAGCCTGAGAAAGAGGAGATAGGGGATGGGGAGGGTGAGGCTGATCCGTTTTTTTTTTTTTTTTTTAATTTTTTTAACAAAAGCAAAGAGGAATCCAAGTTAGGCCCAATATAAAGGAAGATCAGTGAGAACTGCCTGGAGCAGGACCGGCCGCCTTGCCTTTGGTGTGAGGGAGAAAGGGAACTCCCGGGTCCTAGAAGATCTAAGAGGCTGGACAAGGTGATTGGCGCAAGGAAGGTCTGAGTGCAGATGGCAGAAGAGCCCTGCAGAGGTGGCCTGGGGGCCAGGAGTCTTAGCCTGACTCTTATGGGAATGGGAATTGGATGTGAGGCCCTTGAGGCTCTGCATAGTCTCAGCCTCAGTCTCTCTCAGCTCCCTCTGGTTCTGCGTTGGCCACTCTTCTCCTTGCTTACCAAGCTCCAGCCACACCAGTGTTTCTGTTTCTGGAAGAGGCCATGTGTTTTCTCACTCTTAAGCCTTTGCCCAAGCGGTGGCCTCTGCCTTCTGTTGCTCTCATGGCCAGCTGTTGCTCACCCATTTGCTCCAGCTGAAATGTCGCCTCCTCCAGGAAGCCTTCCCTGACCACCTCATCCCAGGTAGCTCCTTCCCAGTTAATCTTATCCCTATGTTTGTTTCCCTTGTGGCACTAACTACAGCCTGTGATTATCTTTGTTTTGTTGATTTTTGGTTTATAGAAAGTGAATTCCATGGGGCAGGACCACATTTTCCTTTTTCATGAATGTGTCTTAAATCCCTAGCACGGTGTTGTACACTTGTTGAATGAATGAATGAATGGCCTTGGCCAAATTACCATGGATCTCAGTTTTCTAACCTGTTCAATGGAGAGGAGCTGTAGGGGAAATTTAATTAGCACAGTGGTTCTCAAACTTCAGCCACATCAGAGAATCAGCTGGAAAACTTGTAAAAACAGATTGCTGGCCCACCCTCAGAGTTTCTGATTCAGTAGTTTTGGAGGAGGGGACCAGAATTTTTGCATGTCTAACAAGTCTCCAGGTCATTTTGATGGTGCTGGTCCAGGGGCCACACTTTGAGAACCACTGGATTAGACCATCTGCAGAGACCCTCAGGCTCGCATCTTTAATTTTTCTGACAAGTGACATCGTGAATATGAAAGTGCCTTGCTTATAAGAACTGTATATATGAGTGCAAGAGATGTTTTGAAACATAACTTTACCTTCAAAAGGAAAGGGCAGGGGGAGGTGGTAGAGAGGAAAGAAAAAACCCCTGTCTAAATCAGGAGGGATTAACACCTACTGATGGGGTTTACAATGGCCAAGGGTCAGTTAAATGGAAGTGCCTGTGGACCAGGGCGCAGGGCTGAGTGGGTCTCTGGGAACAATGCTTGAAAATGAAATGGTGGTTGCAGCCGGGAGGTTTCAAGAGCGCTTCCCGCCGGCTCCGCATTTAATCTTCACCTTTGAGGGTAAAACCAAAGAATCGAAATTAATAAGGGAAGTATAGAGGCCAAACCAGGGGGAAAACAAAACAAAAGAAGCAGCACCTTGCGACCCCAGCACCCCCCATGGCTTGGAGCGCTGCCTTCACCTGGCTGGGTGTTTTATTTGTTAAGCGCTGCTCAAGAGTTCACATTCTTCAGTTTTCCTTCCGTGGGCTTCAGTTGCTTTCCACCTCTCTGGTCCACACAGGCTTGCATAAACCAACCTGTGTCTTTCCTGGGTCCCTCCCTAGGGACGCTGTGCGACTGGAAGAACCTGTCATGACAGGTTTTAGGTTGCTGCCCACTTTCTCTCCGAAGGTCTCGCCTTTTTCAGTGCGCTGCCAGTTCTGTGTATACCCCAGAGGAAGCTGCAGTTATGGCACCATCTGTCTTTTTGAATCCTCTTTTTAGGAAAGGGTCCTTTGGAGCAGATGCAGTAGCGGGGACAGGCCTGGAGAGGCGCCAGAGAGCAAGAAGCCGTCTAGGCGCTGGCACAGCAAATATTGGAACCGTCAATCTTCTGAATCCAGGAGTGAGTGGGTTTCCCCTGCGGACAGTCCCCTGTGTCGCTGAAATGTGTTGCTGAAACAGCAGCAGTGGCAGCATTGCTGACGTCAGTTGAGCACTTCCTGTGTGCCAGGCTACTCATCCTACTGGGCTCTCCCATGGAATCCTCATCTTGCACGGAGAGCACAAATGCTATTTTCAGCCTTCTTTTTAGAAACAAGGAAGACTAAAGCTTTGAGAAATTTAGAAATGTGGTCAAACTCAAGTTAGAAAGAGGCAGATCTGGCTTTGAATGCAGGTGTATCTGACTCCTGAGCTTTTGCCTTTATAAGGGTTCAAGGTGCTTTCCTCTTTATGCAAAGGTGGGTAATGGAACCCCTTCACCAGAGGGCTTCAGTCATGAGTAGCCCCAGTGGTGGCTTGTGCTGGCGATGCTGGTGACTTTACCCCCAAATAACTGTGCCACATCAACACGTAGAGTGTCAGGAAAAGCCACTGCTCCTGAGCCAGGTGCCGGGAAGTGACTCCACTGAGTCCCCACTTAAGTCCTTTGATGTGCCTCATCCTCCCCCTTCCCTGCCTCTAGAGATGGGCAGGTGTCCCAGGAAGCAGGACCCCAGGCCAGCTGCTGCTGGAGCCACAGAGCAGCCCTCTGGGAAGAGGAAGGAGTGGAGGAAGACAGGTCTGTGGATGGAGGTCCCCCCCAACTTGCCTCCCCCTCCCCACTAGCCACTGGGGTCATGATACTGAATTGTTCCCTGGTCAGTGGCACCATCACTGACCTTACGGTAGCCTACTGTAGGAAAGTCTGAACATAGGAACGGCGGTGCAGGGCCCCTGTAAATAAGCCCTGTACAGGAATGTGAGCTGTGGAGCATCAGATGTGCAAAAGTCAGAGACCACCTGGATCTGAAAGGCTCTCTGTCTCTCAAAGGAGGGACTCTTCAACTGTGATTTGAATAAATATGGCAGCACAATCGTGGATCTGGCCATAATTACGCCAGACTGTTGTGGGGAACAGGATGCATGCTGGCATTAATATGTTGAACCATGAAAATCAGGTTCTGGAAATAAACAGGTTTAAGGAAATGCTGTGTTGAAGTCCCACAGGTCTCTTAACTGCAGTACTCCTTAGGGCCTCCGTGTGCTCGCGGGGCAATTGAAATGCCCACCATGGAAGTCAGCCTCGTAGCTTGTTAATCCACACACGCACAAACCAGACTGCAAAACAGTCATGGTCATGTGGATTTTTACTGAGGATTTCTTGGGGTGACCAACACAGGAGGAAGTGACATCACCCAGCTTGCATCTAAACTTACTAAATTCTCTGAGGTTTCCTGGCTGCCCCCTCCCCGCCCCTGTTCCCCCACCAGAGTTTTACTCCCAGTGGCAACTAAGACATCTGTTCTCACAGCCAAGCTCCTTCTCCACCGTCTACCTCCATTATGGGCCTCAGCATTCATTCCTCATCAGGAAAGCTGAAGGCCCCTTCATCAAACTCTTATATTCCTCCAAAAGTCCTGGGGACTTTCAGATAACCCTGAAACCTTCAGTCTTTCCAAAGAAAAAGCTGGCATTGTCTTGGAACCCAGGGGACCAGCATCCTCAGAAACTAACTTGGGAAATTATCCCCTAGAGACATCATCAGAGATGGCCAGAGGCTAAAACCTGTTAAGACTGTAGCAGGCAGGACACACTTGCCCAGCATTGCGGACTGATCTTCCCGCCCTCCAGAGAGCTGGGCTGAGGAAGATCCCAGGATGAAGTCTGGGCGCAGTCTGCATGTCCTGATTGAAGAATGATTATCAGCCGAGGCTGTGAATGAGGAGGCGTTGGTAGCCAGAGGGCTAGGAATCTGCCATACCTGGACTACAGCTTAGTCTAGGAAACAGCCCAGAATTGGGACTGAACGGCTGCAGTGTGATCCTTGCTCTGCTCCAGACTCACGGTGTATTGTCATAATGACAGTTTACCTCTGTGAGCCTCACTTCCTTCCAAGTGGCACAGACACCCCAGAACCCTTATCACATAGAGAAGTGGGGACGATCCACTAACCTAGGAGCAAATGGCCTGAAGGAGTAGACTTGCCTTCACATAGATCAAATGTGTCATAAGATAGAAGCATTGCTACATCAACAGGGCATGCTCATCAGGCTCTTGGCACGGTATGTGTGGGACACTCAATCCAATTAACTTGAGGATGTTTGGATACAGAGACTGTTTACAAAGATATGGGCAGGGTATCAGGAGGACCAGGGCTGATAGGAGCTCTAAGCCTGCAGGGGTAAGAGGGGAAAGCAGGTCCAGGGACTCAGAGAGTCCCTTGGAGAGGGCTGCTTCAAAAGGAGCTATGGCCTTTAGGTTGAGGGACACAGCTAGCTCATGGTAACCCCATGGAAGGGAGCCAGAGATTTCATGTCTGGCCTCTCTCCTCTCTCCCTGTAGGCCCTGCACTTGCTGAGCCCACTGAGAAGCCAGAGAGCCCCTGAATGTAGCTCCCTTGGCAGAGAGCAGGGCAGAAATTTACTCCCTTCCAGTTCTGGTGGCCAGAAGTTCAAAATCAGGGTGTTGGCAGGGCCACAGTCCCTCTGGAGGCGCCGGGCATTCCTTGGCTCGCATCTGCATCACTCCAGTCCCCACCTCTGTCTTCACATCACCTTCTCCTCTCCTCTGTGTGTCTCTCCTGTCTGCGTCTTCTGCAAAGACACTTGCCATTGGATTTATAACTGGGTAACCCAGGACGATCTCCTTTTCTCGAAATCCTTAATTACATCTGCAGAGATTCTTTTCCCGCATAACATTCACAGGTTCCAGGGATTTGACGTGGATATATCTTTTGGGGGGCCAAGGGTCAATCCACTGTACCAGCCTTCCACATCTCACCTTTCTCCCTGATGTGTTGAGATGGAAGGGAACCCTCTGTCTCCCAATGGCCTCCCGGAACGATTGCCCCTTAGCACTGTGAGCTAGAGCACCTTTGCATATCTGCTTTAAGTAGATACTGATCCTTCAGAAGGGGTGGTGAGGGGTTGGGGTGCACATTTTACCTTGTGTCAGAAAATGATTCACATCATGGCCTGTGGCAAGTACTGTGTCTTCTGTGAGCTCTGTTTCACATCTTTGAGATGAAGTAGTGAGATCAAATGCCTGCAACAGGCCAGGTGAGGTGGCTCATGCCTTGTAATCTCAGCACTTTGGGAGGCCGAGGTGGGCAGACTGCTTGAGCTCAGGAGTTTGAGACCAGCCTGGGCAACATGATGACACCCTGTCTCTACAAAAAAATACAAAAATTAGCCGGGCATGGTGGCTCAAGCCTGTATGGTCCCAGCCACTCAGGAAGAGACTGAGGTGAGAGGATGGCTTGAGCCGGGGAGGTGGAGGTTGCAGTGAGCTGAGATCATGCCACTGCACTCCATCCTGGGTGACAGAGTGAGACCCAGTCTCAAAAAAAAAAAAAAAAAAAAAAGAAAAAAGAAAAAAGAAAATATCTAGCGTCTAGTGTCTTCCTGTAGAATTCCACTGTCCTGTCACTCATACTAGGGAAAGATGGCCATCTCTCTGGTAATTTTGTGCCCACCACTTCTGGCCCATGACACACTTGCCAGCACCTGGAGGTCAAGCTCAGAGCCACACTGTGTTTTCCTCTCTGCCTTCAGTCCATCACAGAGGTGGCTGAAGGATGACAGTATGCATCTCTCACATTGGACCAAAGGCCCACTGACTGGGTGCCCTCCTGGGTGGTCTGAGGTGACATTTATGCTCAGGCATCCTGGGTTAGCTCCGATTTCCAGCCAGGCGATTCTTGAATCCTTTCACGCAGCAAAATGTAACAGTGACACCCTGACACCTTTTCTAATTGTGTTTTAATTGAAAAGACTTGATTTGATTATAGAAGCCTACACTGTAGTTGAAGGGCTTGTTAAAACATGTATTAAATTGGAAAGATTGCAATGTTTCGCTGTGTAATTATGTAAACAGTCACATAAATGGGGCCGTTTACAGTCAGCAGGAATGCTTTTTCCGTAGCATGGTGGCAAACTGGCATCGTTGATCAGTGACAGGTGAATTTGTTTTTTTCAAGGACAAACACAAGTCGGTACCCCCCCAACATCAACGAGGACAGCCTTTTCATTTTCTCCTTTTCTGTACATTTTCCCTTGAAATCTGTTTGTGATTTTAAGTAATGTTTTTGTGTCCTCAGGTGTGTGTGAATTTCCCATCATTGTTAAGGAAAATAAAATGTGCCACATGGCTAAAATGTTTAGTTTTCTCAGAAGCAAAAAATGATCTGGGAATTTAAAAAAAAAAATCCTCAACTCCGGCTTTAAAATAGGAGTAGAACTACCTTAAAATTCCCTGCAGTTTTTGTGTTTTTGAGACAGAGTCTCTCTCTGTCGCCCGGGCTGGAGTGCAGTGGTGGGATCTTGGCTCACTGCAAATTCTGCCTCCCAGGTTCATGCCATTCTCCTGCCTCAGCCTCCCAAGTAGCTGGGACTACAGGCTCCTGCCACCACACCCGGCTAGTTTTTTGTATTTTTAGTAGAGACGGGGTTTCACCGTTTTAGCCAGGATGGTCTCGATCTCCTGACCTCGTGATCCACCCGCCTCGATCCCCCAATGTACTGGGATTACAGGTGTGAGCCACCGCGCCTGGCCAAAATTTCCTGCAGTTTTAATGGAAGCGTCCATTAAATTTACTGGGGATAAAAGATAATTTACCTCCATCCCCACTATCCCTGCCTTCCCACAGGACCTTCGAGGCTTATCTATCTTTTTTGAACTTCGAAATAAATGAAACATTGATCAGAACTGTCATTGAAACATTACTTCTCTTGTCCATCACTTGTTCAACCCTGGCCTCTTAGAAGGAAACAGGTTCCACAATCATGATTTTTTTCCCAGCCCCAAGAAAATAGGAGCTGCAAATGGGCTGGGAGATTATATGCCTCCAGTGGTTTTGAAGGGAAGCATTTACTGAGGGGGAAAATTGTTTTAATCTTATAACAACCAGGGAGGAGAGTTTGTAAAAACACAGAACACCTACACATGCACTTGATTTTGTTGCGTAGGAACACGCAGGAACATATCCTCCCACTAATGCGCCTGATGCCTCAGCGGAGGGATCTCGCTGGGGCTGGGGGTAAAGGGAGGGGGCGGGAGAGGTAGAGACTGGGAGTGGAGTTGGCCGAGAAGCTCAGGGACTTGCGGAGGGTATACCCGGTACAGGATGAAGGTTCTCCGACCCCTTCTGGAAACGTGAGCCCCATAGGACGCTGCAAGCTTTGCTTTCCCAAGACCCAACCCCTTAAATCAGGGAGGCTAGTGCCACCACTATTATAACTTCATGGCAAACCCAGCCTCAGTTCCCCTAACCATGGGTTCCCCGGGCAGAACTCAGCACATTGGAGTGTTTCATGAATTTCGCGTTTGCCGAACCAAACAGTCCACAAGCGAGCAGATTCGTCCCGTCTTCAGATGAAAATAAGAATAATGAGTGGCTTAAGAAAATGCATGCATCGCTTTTCTGGAGGGAGGGAGGGAGGGAGGGAGGACGGGAGGACAAGAGGGAAGGAGGGAAGCAAAGGCTGTAAATGCGTATGTGCCTCTCCACGTTGGGAGCTGCACAGTGGGGCCTTTGCAAGGAGAGTGTGTGATTTGTGAGTGGGGCTGAGGAGGGGTAAGGGGAAATTCTCATATTTTGCTCCGTGTACTTAGGGGTTTGAATCTTTTACTGGGAGACCTAATGATGGCTTACTTGTGTTATTTGCAAAAGGGGGTTGTGGTAAGGGAGTCAACTTTAAATAGAAATGTCCAGATTTAGAGGAGAAAGTGACAAGTGGCCTATTTGTATGAAACATGATGAATGAACCGTGGTCACACAGTCAGAGAAGACGGGAAGGGAGACTTGGTATTTATCCCCTTCGTCAAGCTCCCATCCCTTTGTCTTTAAGAGAGTGTATCTTGCACAAAGATGTGCCTCATTCAGAAGAGAAACAGCTGATTTCTGGAAATACAGTTCACGCTCCAGTCATTCCCAAGAGACACAGAACATACCATCCAAGAAGGGGCTTCTCTGGTGGGAGAGCAGATCTCGCAGGAACAAAAGGCCCACACAGAAGCCCCAGGCAGTGGGTGTTTTCCTGGAACCTTTGATTTAAAGGGGAGGGCGATTACACTGGGAGTGATTGTTTTTGTGCTTTATTAGAATGCCTGGATTCAGCTCAGCGGGTCCCTGTGGGGTTAGATACCAACGCAGAAAGGCAGTACCTGGGTCCTTGCCCATGGGATCTTCCTCCTCCCCACAGTGTCTCTTGCCAGCCCCACTGTCTGGCTTTTCTCACCACTCTTCATGGCCCCATGAATTCCGTGCCAGCGTGTTTGGGTACGTGTATATCTGTGTGTATGCATGTTGGCTCCCCAAGCAGTTGGCAGGCATCTTCTCGAATTCTCTCTGCACACCCTCTTGTCTCCTGCCTCCAGTGTACCTATGTTCTGCACACAGCATACCTTCAAAAAATACTAACTACCTGTCAGTTCTCTAATTCGTGCGTGTGTGTGCACGTGTGCGCATGCCTTGTGGCACCTGTGTCAGCTTTCATAAGGTAATAAGGCTGCAGTAACACACATCCCCACCTTCCGGTGGCTTACTCCAAACATGCTTTATTTTTTGCCCTGTTCTGTGGTGGTTGCCAGCTGACTTGGGCCCTGTTCCACCGGTCTGCTTCGTTCTGGGACCCAGACCGAAAGGGTAACACCTGTCAGAGACATACAAAGGGAGAAGGGACACAGATCTGAGGGACCCAGGCCGCAGCTCATCAAACTTCTGTTTAGACTCAGCAGGTCTTGTCTGCTCATGTTCTGTGGCCCATCATATGGCCAAGCCCAACAGTGGGCAAGGAAGGATGTCCGTCCTGTGGGAAGGCCCTGCCTGTCCCATGCAGGGACATCCGTAGATTCCAGCCTCTTCCAGGGAGGGGTAGGCAAGCCCTGATCAGGGCAGCCTGCCTCCACCGTGTGGCCTCCTGGGCTAAGCTGCCCCTTTCCTGTGGCCCTGGTGACTTTCCTGCTCAGTCTTTGCACTCACCCTGGCGTCTCCCACCATGCCTCCGTTGTCTTTTTTTATTCCTGTTGTTGTTCTAGTTATAAAAATAACACATTCTCATTGTAATGTATTTCAAACAAAGTAAAAGCGACCCTTTGTTACCCCTGCTAAGAACCTTCCATCGGGAAGCAATCACTGTGACCCGTTGAAGGTGCATCCTTTCAAGTGTTCCCCTGCTCACAGAATCATGTAAGGTACACGTGTATATAGATAAGATTTTAGGGAAATGGGGTCTTCCTAGACGTATGCACACAGATACATGTTATTTTGTGGCCACGTTTTGTGCTTAGCAGTGTGTCACCAGTATCTTCCTGCAGGGCTGCTTTCCTCGTGAGTGCACAGGAGTCCTTGGGCCTGGGCAGCTCATGTTCGCTGATTATTGTCCTACTCTGGGAGATTCAGTTTATTTCTAGATTTTTCAATGACAACCATGCCATAAAGAACACCCCATGTACACTTGGTCAGGTTGTTTTGTAAGCTGGACTCCCAGGAATGAATTGCTGGGTGAGTGTGTTTTACATTTTGGTGGATGCTGCCATCTCATTCTCCTGAAGGACTGTGCCAGAGCTTGTGCCCTCCCCAGGGCGACTAGTAGGCCTGTTTCCATTCTGCCTAGCCCACACATTTTTTTAAACTTTCATTTTGAAATGATTTTAGACTCACACAGAAGTTGCAAACATAGTACAGCCATTGGTTGTACACTTTCTATACACAAAAAAGGGTATACTTGGTGTACCCTTCACCCAGCGTCCCCCAGAGACAGCTTCCCACCTAACCACAGGACAAAGATCAAGGCCAGGAGATTGCCTTTGGTACAATACTATCAAGTAAGCTTTATTTGGATTTTGCCAGATTTTACATGCACTTTTTTTTCTTTTGGTGAAAGTTCTATGATATTTTATGATGTGTATAAATTTGCCACAAAGCTGTTAAACTTACCGTATTAGGTTTGAGTATAATAAATAGGCTTTTCTTTTTCCTCTGTGCAATTTATTTTTGTCGTTGTTGGGTAGTGGAAATGCTTGAATTTAGATCCAGTGAAAGGCAGCTGTTCGTTTTTTCAGCGTGAGGTGACCAGATGCTGAAAGGAACTGCCTTTCTCCCACTTCCCTGTGAAACCCCTCGGGATGGGGGCTCT